CTGCTTTTCCCCTTTGAAATGTCCACCATAGTCCCTGTTTTACATTCCCAAGTAGCTCTCCTTCTTGCTGATGGGGGTTATTCCACCACGGGGAGGACTCTCAGGTTTTGGGTGATTAGGATATGTGTCAACTAAAAGAAGTCCAAATGTGTCCTTAGCACTGGCAGCTTGATGTGAGCAGGATCATCGTAGAGAGGGTTGCCTGTGGCCAGGAAGGTTATTTGTGTCTGTGGCCACCAGGTGGGGGGCAGAGGTGCTGGCCATGGCCCCACACCTCCCACCCAGGCTGGCCAGCCGCTCAGAAATTATCAGCTGTTTACTTTTGTGTTGTTTATGTAAGTTTTTAAAAAATAGGATCAATAAATTACAAAGATCCACACGTGAGAGTGAGGCAAGTAGCTTAAATGAAGGCAAGTAGCTTAAATGAAGGCAAGTAGCTTAAATCAACTAAGATTATACCGTTAACTACACAGCTAGGTAAAACACGGTGCCTTTCTGCCTAAGCCTGAACTTCATCTATCCCATTGTATGGCCTCCGACGCCTACCTTTTCCCCCTGGTGTCTGATAGATTATTTTCGATGCCTTTTAAAAGTTTCGCTTTCATGTGTTGATTTTGCCTCTTTCATTTTATATCTTTAATTATGATGTATTCTTAGTCTTGGTGATATTTCACCAGAATTTCTAAACTTAAATTCATCTTCTTGCCCATTCAAATCAGAGCAAATACTTTTTTCATACTCTTTTCTAGAAAGTGAAAAATTCAGTATCATTGGCTTTCCTCCTCTTCACTCTCTATTTTAAATTATTTTAGTCTAAGGGTTTGATTTTCCTCTTTTGTTCTCTAAACTTTCTCTTTTGCAAGATTTTTATTTTTTTGGTCTGCCTTAGCTTGTTTTGGTTCCAGGTGCACCAAGTAATCAGACCAGGGCTTCTCAAACTTGGGTGTGCGTCAGACACCCCTGGAGGGCTGTTTACAACCAACCACTCAACCATGCCCCCAGGATTCTGATTCCGTAAGTTTAGGGTGGGGTCTGGGAACCGGCTTTTCTAACAAGTTCCCGCTGATCTGGGGAACCCCACTTTGAGAACACTGAATTTGTTTCATAACCACCCTCCTCCCTTTGGTGCGAGGACACGTTGCGGACCAATAGCTCTATTCTGCATTGATGATGGTATTGGCGTAAGAAATGTCCAGACCTGTAGCGACTTTTTATGAGTTCTTTTGAGTCAAACTGACTTGGAAGCAAAATCTCAACAGGTTGAGAAAGTGCTTTGGAAAATGGCAGTTTATTTCGTACGTTAGCATCAAAGGAGGAGCCATAGGGGGGTTACATGAAATCCATTGGTGGTAGATTAAGGGGGTGAGAGAGGTAAAGTAGGGAAATCTCTGGGATTGCATGAGAAGCAAAATGGAGAGACATATACTTATTTTACATTGGTGGGTACAGGATAGTTACATTTGCAACACAGAGAGATGGTATTCAGGGAGCAATATGGCAATGAGGGGTTCCCTGAGGGGGTCTGGGAAAGAACATTACTCATATTTCAAAGGCATGTTATCTTAGTTACAAAGAGACAATACACAGGCTCACTTGAGGTAAAGATTAACCTTTGTCAGGGAAGCTACAGGCCTATGATGTCACTACCTGCCATCACCAGCTTTTAGTTAGGAATTTTTATGATCAGACCATCCTATATAGTTCCTTTCAGTCTCTGGGTCTGTAAGGCCCGCCATGCAGGCCTCCCCTGAGCTTGTCAGGTTTCATCCATGGTGGCATCTAGATCTCGAAACTCCAGCATTATCATGAAAAACCCTTTCCTGGATTTAGCTTTTGAGTCCTGGAGTTATTTTTTGAAAACTTTTCCCAGAAGAGACGGAAGACCAGAGGATTTTCCCAGCCTTTGCAGTTGCTTCGCTCATGAGGCTGTGGCTGTGAATAGAATCCTTGGGAATACGATTTTCCTCGGGTTTCTGGCGGTGGTGCCGGTCCTTCTCTGTTGATGGGAGATGTCTGAAGTTTGTCTGATTTAAGTCCATTGAAACAAACCCAGATTTTTCTGTCCTCCTACTACGTAGGAGTATTTAGGGTTAGGACTTCTCTTTCTCTTTGAAGGTTAAATTTGTGACATTTTTGATAAGTAATGTCATGAAGTTGATTGCTGATCACTAATTCTGCCTGAAACTCAATAGGTCTTCAGGATAATGGCTTGTACACAGTGCCTCAGTTAATTTTAGTGTCCCCCCCCCTTTTTTTTTTTGCAAAAGTTCATTGTCATGTTAAAGCAGTGCTCTTAGGGGCATCTTCACAGATAGCATCCACTTTCTGGCCACCGTGCCCTTGCCGGTGCCATTCCCTCCTCCCTGCCCTGCCTGGAGCACTCATGAGCATCCGTCAGGCGTCAGCTCCAACGCTGGTTTCTCGGGGGCCCACTGTGATTCGCTCCCAGCGAGCTGCATCCCTCCTCAGCGTACCCACCTCATGGTGCCACTCATTGTATTTTTGTGTTCCCAGTGCCTAGCCTGGTGCCTGGCACATGGCTGTGGTGGCAGCCAGCAATGTACTGGGCACTTAACTGTGTTCTGGGCACTCATTAATCCTTACAGCATTCCTGTGGAGTTTGTGTACGCTTGTCCCCAC